AAAAAAAAAAAAAAAAAAAAACAAGAACTGGAATTAAAGACATGTGCCACCATGTCCAGAAAAAATTGTTTTTATACTTCCAATGGAAAGAAGCTTTTCCCAAAAAAAAAAAAAAAGTTATCAAAAGGTAAAAACAAATTTCTTTATTAAATTCAAATTCCCAACTAGAAATTGTTGGGACCAAATCACAAGAGATTCATCTGTCTGCCTCTGCCTTCAGAGATTAACAGTGTGCTGTACCATACCTTACACGTCCCCTAAGAGACCTTAGCCCTGGCTTGCCTGGAACTTGCTGGGTAGACATGGTTGGATTAAACTTACAGAAAGCTTCCTTAGTAGATATTTTAAGACAGGTGAAAATTGTCCATTATAATGCTGCTCAATGAATTTAACAGTAGCCAAATGTGCAATGGGTTTCATCCCAACAGAGGATTAATTTGAGAGAAATTACTTTATTATACTAAGCAAATAAAATTAGTATACTTGATCCTTAAGAGTAGAAGCCTTTGCAAGAGTCTTTCTCCAAGGCAGAAAGATTCTAGTTTCCTACCCTTCAGTAATCAGTAAGGCCTGCTGAAGGGATACACACATTTTATCAGTACGCACAGGAAATAAAACTCCATGTGGAAATTTTGCAAAGCAAAATTCTATTCTAAGGCATGAGGCACTCCCTCATCTAATTCACCCCATCATGTATCTCAGACTCCAAGTATGTATAATACCACTGTGTTAAATGCCACTCTAATGTTCACAAAAGGGCTCCAGGTAATGACCTGATTACAGTTCAAGATGCATGTTAAGAGAAAACCAACTCCTGTAAACTAACTTCTAACATTCACATGTTCATCATGGCATGTGTGTACATACCCAACCTGCATACAAATAAATGTTAAAAACAAAGAGCCAGGTGGAGATGGCACACAAATTTAATCCCAGTACTTGAGAGGCAGGGGCAGGCAATCTCTGTGTGTTCAATGTCAGCCTGGGTCTACAGAGCTAGTTTCAGGACAGCCGAAGCTACGTAAAGAAACTTTGTCTCAAAAACAAAAAACAAAAAAAGAAACAAAGGAAGAAACAGTCTAAAAGAAAATTCGTACTCACCATGTTGGGCATTCCCCCACCAGGAACTGCCTTTTTGTCCATTGCAAATGGAGATGGTAAGCTATTTGGTAGTACAGTCTTTGTCTGAATTGGGAGACCAAGGCCACTCGCTCCAATCTGCTGTCCAGAATTCTGAGCATATGGTGAACCATAAGGACTGGGATTGTTCATCATTCCCATCTACGTAAAATTAAAAACATTCTCCATATTACTAAGACATCGCCATTTCCATACTTCATGTTCTATATTACAAAATCATTTTAAAACAAATCCTCTGATTATATAAAGAAAACACTGAAGGGCCAAGCAAGATGGCTTAGCAGGTAAAGACGCTTACTCCAAAAGTCTACCAACCTGAATTTGATCCCCTGCGCTTGTAAAAGAAAAAGGAGATCCAAGCACTCGGGAGGCAGACAGATCTCTGAATTGGAGGCCAGCCTGGTCTACAAAGTGAGTTCCAGGACAGGCTCCAAAGCCACACAGAGAAAAAGTAAAAGGAGAAAACTGACTTTACAGATTTGAAAATAAACAAATAAAAAAGTGTATTTTTATTAAAGTACATTTCACTGACCTAGGTATAAAAATTAAAAAAAATAAAAACTGAGTACTAGCTAGAGGCTGGAGGATCAGAAACTGCAAGGTCGTCCTTAGCACAGAGAGCCCAGGCTCTGAAAATAAGATATCTTCCATGTGTTCAGTTTACCTGGAGCCATCCTACTACACAATGATTAACTGAAAATGTTAAGGAGTTTTTAAAATACGTTTATTAATTTGTATATTAATGTTTGCACATGCACACACACTTGCATGCACATAATTACCACAGGGCACGTGTAGAAGTTAGAAACTACCTGAATAGGTAAAGGAAAGTTTCTTTGCCTACTAAGACATCTCAAAGGCAACTTTCTCATTAGACTTGGATCTCGCTGATTAGGCCAAGGAGCCTGGTCATCACCTCTTCATAGTTGAGATTAAAAGCCCATGCCATCATAGTCAGCTTTTTACATGTGTGTTGGTGTGTCCCTATATTTGTGTGGCAAGCATTTTACCAAATAATCTTTCTCAAAGACCTACCCCCAAAACTACATTTTCATAACGGGCTTATTTCTGTGAGGCCTGTAATTCCAGTCCTTAGGAAGAAGCAGAATTACTAGTTCCATGTCAGGCCAACTATCTGATATTAACTTACAAACAAAACAAAAAAATCAAAAAGATGCAATTTTTAGCTTTTTTTCCTTTAAGTTGTACCACTTACACCCTTTTCGACACATTCTCACTATGCAGACAAAGCTGGCCTTAGAAGAGTAATCCTCCTGCCTCAACCTTCCCGCAAGGGCTGAATCATAAACATCATGTGCCACCTCAGGTGTTTATTTTATGTGTGTGAGTGTTCTGACTGCATATACGTCTTTGCACCACTTGCATGTAGTGCCTCTCAAGGCCAGAAGAGGGCATCAGATCCCTGCAACTAGAGAGATGGTTGGCCAACATATAGGTGTTTCGAATGTGTTTGGGTTTTCTGGAAGAGTCATTCCTTCAGTCCTTAGCTTATAAGTTTTAAAGTACTAATATTTATTCTAAAATAATTTTAATGATGTCCATGCCTATAATGAGATACAATTCATTCACAATTGAGTCCCTAATTAAAATGGATATTCATTGAGACATGGAAAGCTATTTTACCACAGAACTTTAAATGAACAATAAAAGAACAAGAAACAAAATGTTTATAAAAGTCCACCAAAAAAAAACCACAGAAATCTGTAGCCTACTTAGTATCTTTAAGTAATTATAATATGCTTATTCATATATCTCAATACAATCTGGTGGGGATTTTTTTGGTGTTTTGTTTTGTTTTGTTTTGTTTTTTCAGAATTCTACCTTCCCATCATTATACCTTCTGGCCCTTTGAAGTTTTCTTTCTCCCCCACCAAATAGTATAAGATGGGGCTATATTTGTATCTGCTACACTGCTATCCCACCTTATCCAATTATTCAGTTATACAGGTATACCTAACCTGAAAAGACAGAGAAAGGACTAATGTTGTGCTCCCAGACTTATTCTATACTGCAGGGAGGTGCTCAAATAAAGAGCTATAAACTCAAAATTAGCTTCAAGAAGTCCCTGAAACAGGGGCTGGAGAGATGGCTCAGCGGTTAAGAGCATTGCCTGCTCTTCCAAAGGTCCTGAGTTCAATTCCCAGCAACCACATGGTGGCTCACAACCATCTGTAATGAGATCTGGTACTCTCTTCTGGCCTGCAGGCATACACACAGACAGAACATTGCATACATAATAAATAAATATATTAAAAAAAAAAAAGAAGTCCCTGAAACTGACTAGATTCTTATTTGCTAGAGTAAGCAATAAATGGTAAGAGTTCCCGCCCCCCAACACAAGCTGAGCTGCAAAGACAACTCTCAGGAGAAAAAGCTACAAAGAAGACTAGGATGACAGACCAGCTGCAGAAACCAACCAAGTTGCCTGGAAGTTTAGACCAACTGAGCCAGTTGGAAAGAACACTCTCCAACCTGTTGAACTCCCCCTCAGGCAGCCCAGGTTCACAGCTTTGTGAACTGTTGTTACCCACCCTGGGGTGAGCTTTGATGATGCAGTGGTCTTTGAGTCATTTCTTCTGTAAGCAACCCTTCACCCACATTCCTATAAGCAATCCCAACAAAGCTTACTGGTTCACACCAAATTGGCCTCTGGTGATATCTATACTTTGGTCAGTGATTACCTACCTGGTTAAGCAGACCTCCTGTGTGTTTCATCTCCCCAGGGAAAGTTATGCCATACAACAACCAGGAAGTTACAAGCAAAAGAAACCCCACCCCACAAAAGCCTCTGGAGCATCATTATTCCTTTGCTAAAAAACAGCCTTACACATATTAAATACCTATTAATACTTACGTTGCTGCAGAAAGTTAGGAATGTAGTAATATGAATACTCACATACATTACAAAACAAAACAAGGGGGCTGTAAAGATGGCTTAAGCAGTTAAGAGCATTTGTTCTTACAAATGATCCATATCCCAAGAAGAATCTACATAGTAGTTCACAACTTTATACAACTCCAGTTCCAGGGAATATTCTTCTGGTTTCTAATGGCACCAAGCACACATGCACACGAAAACAACAAAAGCACTCTACCAGGCAAGCTCAAGCTTGTAATCTCAGGAGGCTGGAACAAGGGGACTGAATTTGATAAACTCTTGAGTTTGACACTCATCCATCACAGGTGCTGGAAACCAAGTTCAAGTCTTCTGTAAGAGCAGTACAAGTTCTTAACTGGTGAGCCATCATCTCTCTACTCTAAAACACTCTCTTAACCTAAAATCTTAAACATCAATAACTCTTGGTGCTAGAGATATTCATTTGGTATAGTCTTGCTTGCCATGCATAAATCCCTGGGTTTGATCTCTCTGGACCCCATAAACCACATGTGGGGTACATGCCTGTAATCTCAGCATTCAGGAAGTAGTGGCAGGAAAATCAGTATTAAACAGGGAGCTGGAGGTCAACCTGCTATATTGAGAGCCTATCTTAAACAGCAAAAACTCTTCTAAATTACATACCAAAAAAGCTATCCACCAATTGATGCACAGAGTAAACTCCAAAAGTTATATTATCACTCCTGTTTTGGGAAACTGAATTATATCCCTAAAACTCAGAAGTATTTGTGGGGTGCTGTGATCAATCCTAGGGTCTTGTTCATACTAAGCACACATTCTACACTAAACTCTGAAACTACATTCTAAATTTGACAAGATTCATCCCACTACAACCCCATATTTTGAGATAGCATCTCACTATGTAGCTCTGACTGTCCTTGAACTCTCTATGGTAGACCAGGCTAGATGTTAATTCAGAGATTGATCCATCTGGTTGTACCCTGGGATCAAAAGTGTGCAACACCATGCTCAGCTTAAGATTTATTTCTTTCCAGGCAATTATGCAAGCCTTTAATCACAGCATTAAAGAGGCGGGGCATGTGGATCTGTGAGTTTGAGGCCAGCCTGGTCTACAGAGGAGAGTTCCAGGACAGCTAAAGCTACACAGAGATACCTTGTCGAGAGAGGAGAGAGAGAGAGAGAGAGAGATATCCATGAGAGAGCAGTAATTTGTGTTTTGTTCACTGCCATGTATTCAATTTCTGAATCAAGGAGGATATAATCTGTAAATGTAAAAAGACTGGGGAAATGTCTCAGTATTTAGAGGACCTAAGTTTGGTTCCTATCAGGAGGCTCACAACTGCCTAAAATGCCAGCTGCAAGGGGAACCCAATGCCTCTGACTTCCAGCCTTCACTAATATATCATATAATGCAATAAAAAGTATATATATATAGCTTAAAATTGGGCAGCAGTGATGCACACCTTTAAACCCAGCACTTGGGAGGTGCGCGTGGGGGGGGGGGGGGAGAATGGGTCTGGAGTTCTAGGACAGCCAGAGATACTCAGAGAAATCATGTCTCAAAAAAAAAATAATAATAAAAATATTCAGCAGTGAGGTGCACACTTTTGATCCCAGCACTTGGGAGGTAGAGGCAGGGGGATCTCTGTGAGTTCAAGGCCAGCCTGGTCTACAGAGGGAGTTCCAGGAGAGACTCCAAAGCTACGTAGAGAAACCTTGTCTCAAAAAAAACTAAATAAATTAATAACCAAACAAAATGTGTGTGTGTGTGTGCGTGTGTAATATCACTTAGGACTAAAGAGAAGGTCCAGTGAGTAAAATCGATTGTCATGCAAGTCTCATAACCTGTGTTCAGCTCTACAGATGCAGTAGTGATACAACCGTCTATATTCCCAGCACACCTATGGGAAATGGGAGGCAGAAACAGGAGAATCCACAAAAACTTGAAACCCAAGCAGAATGGGAAAAAAAAATCCCTCTTCTCAAAGAAAGTGAAATAGTAAGGGAAACTTGAACACTGTCCTCCACACATAACTGTGCCCAACCTTACACACAAACATGAAAACACTTAAAAACATTAAAAATACAGTTAAGTGTGAAGAAGGAAAAGAATGATTTCATTTTTTGGAGTCATGGTTTCATAGTACATTCCCAGCTGACTTGGAACTCACAGAAATCCAACTGCCTCTGCCTCTCCCAAGTACTCTGCCAAGAAAAAATTTTAAAACAGAAGTAGTCAGTCTGCCTAAATCAACAATGCTGTTCCCAAAGCCATAGGTTACTAAATGAAA